TGTCTACAAGAGTTGCAGTCAAATACAGAAACTAAGGCTACGATGGAAACCATATACTTAACGTACAGAAAACTGAAACACCACTTGCATACACTGTAACAGATATTGAACACATACAGACCAACAATATAACACGTAATAAACATATTAATTCCAGTTTCTGCTTGATTAAACCCTAGAGATTATCTAGGTGCACAGAACACGGCCCAAAGGGAAAGAGGAAGATAGAACTTGCCTTTGTAATAGTTGGTCTGCTTTCCTCTGTTCTGGCCACACTGAAATACTGCTTAGCCTCCTATTACTTCTGTGTTTCCCTTCTCCTAGGTTTGGCTTTGAAACCTCAGTCGAGAACTCACAATTTGCTCTGTTATCTCAACCCTTACTCTGCATCTCCCTGTGTTTTGCAGAACCCTCTACGTATATATGCTATGTGATATATCGTAAAACCCTAGCTTAACGCATAATGGTGTATTTATAAACTAAATACTAAAACCCTAATCCTTGTCACATTGAGATAAAGCCCTAAACTTAATCCGAGTTTAGTTAGATATCAGATGCTTATGAGACGGCTCCAAAACCCTAACTAAAACGTATCTAAAACCCTAGTTAATGGGAATGACATAATTACCCTGTTCAAAAATTAAATACTTAATAAACAATTAATTTAAACCCATTAATTAAATCAAATAAGGAAGCAACGAATCACTTAAAACACATAAAATAAATAAAACAAGGAATTAAAATAAACCAACAAATAAAGAATTACACCCTTAATTAAAATAAACAATAATAAATCAATTAAATCAAATTATCCAATTAAGTCAATTAATGCAAATAATGTTAAATAATTCAACTAAGACAATTAAACAAAAATAATAAACGCAAATAAATAATTTTATCCCTTTTTAAAGTAGGGGTATTACAGCTACTATGAATTAGAGTCTCATGAGCTAAGATGTTGAGTGATTTTCAGAGAAAATTTGTGAGGTTTTGAGCTAAATTTAATCTCTGAAATCAACAAGAAAAGGGACACTAAATCACCAAAGCATTGAAGATCCGGTGTTGCTGATTTTCTGGTGTAAGAAAGGGGCTGTGGAGGTTCAAAAATTTCTGTGAAGGTTTTTGTGGTTTGAACAAGGCTCAAGCAAGTTTGTATGTGATTTTTACATCTGCAGGAGGTGCTCACTTGTACAAAGTAGAGCTGAAGTAAGTCTTGACATCTTAAACCCTCTATCAAGCCTGTTTTTTGATTTAGCCTACTGATTTGGATATACACTGCTTATATCTTGCTATGAGTTACATGTTAAGCATTCTAGCAACTTTCAATCACTGATTCGAGGCTATTGAAATTAAAAAGTTGCCACAAACCTGACCATGTTGGTGTTCGGCCTTGTAAAACTAAGTTATTAGAGGTTTAAGCCTGAAAACTGATATTTGAGCCTTGAAGAGTATATACCATGCTATTCTTGATGTGATTTCTATCTGAGCATGTGTATTAATCTGAAATATAACTGAGGATCTCGAGCATACTATGTCAAGCAAGTTTTTCTCTGTTGTTTGATGCTGATCTATGTAAGAAAAACTCATTGAATCAACTCTGATGAGTGTACTGATTGCTGAGATGAGGCTGCTGTTAAATTAACTGATGCAAGGGCGGTATTGAGTAGTAACTTTGGGTTTCAAGCTACTGTGGTCTATTCTGAAGGTTGACACAGTTATTCTGTGCCGAGACTATTCTGTGCCAAAGTTATTTTATGCTGAAGTTACTCTGTGTTGAGGCTATTCTGTGCCGAAGTTGTTTTATGCTGAGACTACTCTGTGCTGAGGCTACTCTGTGCTGAGGCTATTCTGTGCCGAAGCTGTTTTGTGCTGAAGCTACTCTGTACTGAGGCTACTCTATGCTGAGGCTATTCTGTGCCGAGGATATTCTGTGCTGAAGCTTTTTTGTGCTGAAGTGTGATAACCTTGCTGAGCTTATTGAAGACATTGTTTGTGCAAGTGTGTTTTAAGATTATAAAGCTGTGAAGACAGAAAAAGGGGGCCCTGAAGAAGATATTCTGTGAGTTGACTGATTTACCCATTGAAGAGGGTTTAAAGTCTAATTGAGCTGAATTGTTGAAGGAACTTGCTAATCACTGTCCAATACTTAATTGAGCAAGTTTGCTAAGCTGAACCAAGACTGTGGGATCCTAGTATGAGTATCAGTTGAAGCTGCATTGTGTCATTGAAGAAGTATCCATTGATTGTAGAAGAAAGTTAGCTAGGGTATCACGTTGTTCCACTTAAGGCTGTGTATTGCATTCCTACGTTGTGTTGCAGCTTAAGTATATTGTAGTTTGTGTATTGGCCCTTATTGTAAATGGTAGTGAGGCTTTAATTCCTCACCCCATTGTTGAAGCTTATGTATGTGTAAGTGAAGTGAAGGTCAGTGTCCTAGTGAATACAAGGTGGTTGGAAAATGGGGCAGCTGAGTGAGTAACTACTTGCATACAGCAAGTGTTGTTGATAAGCTAGTGTGTTGACACTTATTGTAAATGGTAGTGAGGTTTTACATCCTCACCCCATTGATGATAATGGTAGTGAGGCATGATCCCTCATCCCATTGTTGATTAAACTATTGAGAGCTTATTGAGTCCAAGCGTGGTTGCTTAGGACAGGGGGAGTGCTCAGATGCACTGTGGTGTATTAGTGTGTGTGTATTGGTTGTGATAACTAATGTCTACTTTGGTGTATAGGTGTGTGCAGAGAGTGAGATAGCTGAGTGCGTAATAAGATACATACAACTAGTGGATACTTTTATTGGCTGAGGCCAAGAACCAAGGTTTTTCCCTATTCAGAGGGTTTCCTTGTATACCTTGTGTTATGTGCTTAATTGGTATTTAACTTGTGTTACATTCATTGAAGAAAAAGTTTAATTAGACCAATTCACCCCCCCCCCCCTTCTTGGTCTAACAGGATATAAGAGATGTGTGTGCCTTGGTAGAGGGGGACTCTTGAACAACTAACTAGTGTTTGATTCTTCTTGAAATACCTACTATCCAGTTGAGATTTCCCTGTAGTCTAGTGAACGTCTTAGTGTGTATATATATGTATCGACTATGTTGCTATTGTATGAGTTTGGCTAAGGATGTATAGTTTATCGATTCTCTGATTAGGTTGTAGTAGAAAGAACTTGTTCGTGGGTCTAACCCACAATTTATTTTTCAGGTTCTTGTCAGTACCGGTTGTAGCAGTTGTTCGTGCTGATCAGAGAGTATTCGTCTTCACTATACTGGAGTCATTGATGTAGGATACTATCATTGTTTAGTTTATTTAGTAGACTTTGTTATCTTTACATTTTGGCGATTGGATTTTATTAGGGGTCCTTCACTTATGGATTCCCAAGTTGTAGTCTTGGAGAGGTCTATTACTTATTGGATTTAATCTTTGTATTGGTGTCTGAGAATTATTATTTATCATTTAGTTTTCTTTTCGGTGTTATTATTTAATTTATTATTATTCCTCTTATATTCTGTACTTGTTTATTATCAATTTTTTTTTTTTTATATCTTCGAGTTTTTTGGTGTGAACTTGACCAACCTATATGTGAAAATTTAGAGGTATTACTTATGGAGATTGAGAGGAAGAGAGAGAAGATAGTCGATTTAGAAGAATGTAGACTAAGGTTTCAATTGGAGGTTGGGTATGGAGACTGAGAAAATGAGAGAGAGAAGAGAGTCAATTTAGAAGAAAGGGAAAAAAAAAAAAAAGATAGTTTAACTAGTAAAAAACAAGTAATATGCCCAACTTTACATTCTTTTAATTTTAGACCTACATCTAAATACTACTCAACTTTGTCATTCACACCCAGTCCTATTTAAATATATACTCTCTTTTTTTAACCTTTTAGAAGTAAAAAAAATATTAGTCTTTTAAGAGAGTAATTTTACTTGTAAGAAGGATTACCTAAACGTAATTACGTGTTGTAGCATGCACCGTTCACATGTTTCTTACGTTACCTTTTAATTATTTTGGTTTTGGTACTATTTCGATACTATTTGGTTAGTCAAGTTTTATTTATTATACTTCCTTTGTCCTAAAAATAATGTCTTTTTTAAAAAATTGTGATTCATAATTTTTTTAAAACAGACATTTATTTTAAAACAGAAGGAGTAGTAACGAATTAAAGCAAACTTTGCCAATTTATTTATTAACTTTATTCATCTAATAAATATGTAGGTCCACTTTTTCTGTATCTCCAATGATGAAGGAGACGTAGGAAAAGTGATTTTTTTAAAAAAAACCACTTAATTTGAAGAAAAATGTTATTCTTGGACCACTATTTGAAAATTTGCAATTTATATGGAAGAGAGGATTGAAAAAATCGGAGTATTCATGAAAAAAAAAAAAATTGGAGTCTATGCTTTCAATAATTGTTCTCACAATATAAATAACACTATGTTAAAGATAGATGATTGGACGGAATTTTTTTTATGGTATGGACTATTGACATACAAATGTGTGGTGGCTTTAAGTAGTTGAATATTAGTTTCAAATGATAGTATATTAAAAAAAATTAAAAATTAAATATAATATGTGAAATGTGTAATAAAAGGAATGAAAAAAAAAAAAAAAAAAAAAAAAAGAAGAGAGTTTACCTGGTAGACCTTATCATTGTGGAATTAAAGTAAGAATGATGATGCCAATAATAGAAAATTTATAAATACCAATTTATTTAAATTATAGCAATTTCTAGCCGTTTATAAATACCAACTCATATTTTTAAAATTTATTTTTTATACTTCCTTTTAGCAGAAAAAAGAAAAGGAAGCATATAGATAAAGAGGCAATATTAAGCGGACAAAGACCAATTTTACTTTTTGCTGAAAAGAAAGGTTAGCATGGTAGATTCACAGGTCTCTTTGCTTCAGAAAAAGTAACCAAGCCAAGACCTTTTGACAAGGGGCATTTTCGTACATTTCCATTATCCTTGCACCTGCAGAAGTTACACTACTATTCGAGAGGGAAGTTATAGTAGCATGACTATCTATCTATGAGGGAGGGAGACATTCAGACAGACAGTACCCAAGAGACAGAAACGCAAATACCAACCGAAACAATCTTCTGTTGAATTTCTTCTCATCCTTTATTGCTACTGCGACTGCAACTATCTATCTGCTCTCTCTCTCTCTCTCTCTCTACATTCTCTTACAATGTCAGCATTTTAGCAGCAAGACCTCTACACCTCCACTCAATCCATTTCTACTTCCCCTCCGCTCTGTGCAACACCATCTACTTCCCCTCCGCCATGTCTTCCAAATCCAAGTAAGTATTATCTGTCTCTACATATTTTCTCTCACTAGATCTGATGTGGGTTTCTCCGCTGTTCTTTTGTTCATTACTTGATCTTTCTTATCTGGGTAATTTTCTATATTTTCTGATTTGTGGGTTGGATCTGTTTTTTCTTCTTTTTTTCTTTTTGAATTATGTTGGGTTTTTCTTTTTATGTTTATTCAGTTTTCCTCTGTGTTTGTCTGACTTTGTTTACACATGGGTTTTACTTGATTTTCTACTTAATCTCGTTCTTAGTTCATTAGGGTTTCTTTGATTATTTGGATCTGAAATCATAATCAATTTCCCCCCTTAATTTTTAATGTATTTTGTCTACAATTACCTCTCTTTGAATCTCTCTCTCTCTCTCTCTCTCTACACACACAAGCACAATCTGTTGTTAGATTTTATTTTGGGAATTTTTTTTATGGATGTTTCATGTGTTTCTTTTATGAGTTTCCTTGTTTGGCTCAGATCCCATCTTTAATTCTGTGCTGTCGAGGGCCTTTCAGATGGATTGTCTTTATGTATCCTGCATTATCCATTCTAGAAAATGAACTTCTGATCTTGTTAGTTAATTACGACAATTTTGAACTTGTACAGATCCACTTTATCTGAATCTTCCAACAGCAAAGCATCACCAGCTACTCCCAGGGTGAGTAAATTAAGCAGGGGAGTGGCTAAATCTGACATCGATTCACCCTCTAAATTAAGCCGGGGAGTGGCTAAATCTGACACTGATTCACCCGCTTCCCTGCAAAATCCACGCCATTCTGTTGATAGGTCCCCAAGATCTGTCATTTCGAAGCCTGCGGTGGACAGGCGGTCGCCAAAGCTCAGTACCCCACCTGATGTAAGTTTCACTAGATGCCCATAAACTTTGTGGACCCTAAACCTATAACATCAGCAAGTGTTGTTTGATAGCAGAGATCTGGAGTTGGATGCGTCTGAATTGTTTGGTTGCTTTATAAACCAATGATTTTGGATTGAATTCAAATTCCATGGACTCCAAATCCACAAAAACAATTTTCTAAGGAAGCAAATTTTAGCATGAACTCCAATCAAATGGAAGTTTAAATCAGATTCAATTATTAGTGACCAGATATGGCTTAATGAATCTTGAAAACTAACGCTTTTTATATGCATTTTACCAGAAACAACCAACACGGGTATTGAAAGGATCAGAATTACAGGCCCAATTGGGTCTTGCTCAGGAAGAACTTAAGAAGGCAAAGGAGAAGGTAATTTTGGTTGAGAAAGAAAAAGCGCAAGCCATCGAGGAATTGAAAGAAGCCCAAAAGTTGGCTGAGGAATCAAATGAGAAGCTCAGGGAGGCTTTGGTGGCTCAAAAGCGAGCCGAAGAGAATTCTGAGATTGAGAAATTCCGTGCAGTTGAGATGGAGCAGGCAGGAATTGAGGTGGCTCAGAAGAAGGAAGAGGAGTGGCAGAAAGAGTTTGAATCAGTGAGAAACCAGCATGCTTTGGATGTGTCTGCTCTTCTCTCTGCCACTCAGGAGCTCCAAAGGTTGAAGCAAGAACTGGCAATGACTTGCGATGCAAAAAACCAGGCCCTTAGCCATGCTGATGATGCAACTAAGATTGCGGAGATTCATGCCGAGAAGGTGGAGATTCTTTCAGCTGAAGTGGTCAAGTTGAAGGCATTGCTTGATTCCAAGCGTGAAATGGAGGCTGATAAGAACAACAAATTGGTGTCTGAGCTGAGCTCAGAGATAGAGACTCTAAAACAGGAGCTTGAGGAAGCAAAATGTTTTGAGGATAAGCTGATGGAAAAAGAGGATTTGCTGGAGAAACTTAATGTTGAGATGGAGGCTGCGAAAATGGCTGAATCTTATGCACGTAATTTAGTGGAGGAGTGGAAGAAGAGGGTTGAGGAATTAGAGACACGGGCTGAGGAAGCAAATCGATTAGAGAGATCTGCATCAGAATCCTTGGAATCAATTATGAAACAACTAGAGGGAAGCAATGATCTATTGCACGATGCAGAGTCTGAAATTGCTGCTCTTAAGGAGAAGGTGGGGTTATTGGAAATCTCAATGAGGAGACAGAAAGGGGAGCTTGAGGAATCAGAACGTCGATTTGATGTGGCCAAGGAAGAAGCTTCAGAAATGGAGAAAAGGGTTGACTCCCTACAGTCTCAGCTTGAAACTCTGAAGGAGGAGAAAATCCAGGCCTTGAACAATGAGAAGCTCGCAGCAACCAGTGTTCAAACTCTTTTGGAAGAAAAAAACAAACTCATAAATGATCTGGAAAGTTCCAGGGATGAAGAAGACAGAAGTAAGAAGGCGATGGAAAGTTTAGCTTCAGCCTTACATGAAGTTTCTTCAGAAGCAAGAGAAGCCAAAGAAAAGCTATTGTCTGTTCAAGCCGAGCATGAAAGTTATGAAACACAAATAGAAAATTTGAAGTTGGTATTGAAAGCGACAAATGAGAAGTATGAAACGATGCTTGATGATGTCAAACATGAGAATGATGTTCTCATTAATTCAATCGAACAATCTAAGCATGAATACCAGAATTCCAAGGCAGAGTGGGAGCAAAAAGAGCTTCATTTGGTGAATTGTATAAAGCAATCAGAGGAAGAAAACACTTCCATGGAAAAAGAAGTAAAGAGGCTGCTTAATATGCTTAAAGAGGTTGAGGAAGAAGCTTGTGCTACAAAGGAAGAAGGATCTCAGCTGAAAAATACCTTAAAGGAGGCTGAATCTGAGGTGATTTATTTAAAGGAAGTGCTTGGGGAAGCAAAGGCTGAGAGCTTGAGATTGAAGGAGAGTTTACTGGACAAAGGAAATGAATTGGATTGTGTTATTCAGGAGAATGAGGAGCTTCGAAGTAGAGAAGCTGCTTCTTTCAAGAAGGTCGAGGAGTTGTCGAAATTGCTCGAAGAAGCTATGGCAAGAAAGAAAGCGGAGGAGAATGGTGAGCTCACAGACAGTGAAAAAGATTATGATATGCTCCCAAAGGTGGTAGAATTCTCTGAACAGAATGGAGATGGTAGAGAAGAGAAGCACAAACTAGAGCTTCCACCTCAACAATCTGAGCTACCTGTAAAAGAAAATTCTCAGGAAGAGAGAGGTGTCTTGTCTAATGAGGCAGTTCAAACGGGTACTGGTAAAGGTGAGGATATAAATGGAACACTAAAAGAGAACGAAAGCAAAGAAAAAGAAGTAGATGATGCTGTAGAAGTTGATTTTAAGATGTGGGAGACCTGCAAGATTGGAGAAAAAGATTTTTCGCCTGAGAGAGAGCCGGAGCCGGAATCCTTTGAAGAGGAACTTGACTCAAAGGTGGATGCTGGTGAGAATTATGACCAGATGAATGGGTTATCTTTGACAGAAAACATTGACAATGGAGGAAATTCACCATCGAAGCAGCAAAGTCAGAAGAAGAAGAAACCTTTGCTCCGGAAGTTTGGAAGCTTACTCAAGAAGAAGGGCACTAGCAACCAGAAGTAATTGTTGAAGTGTGGCATGTCTAGTGCCTGACTAACAGGCAGGTATATTGGATTCTATCTTGCACCTGAATGTGTTTGTTGTATGCTTTTTTGCTTCTCATTTTTAGAATAGGGGAAAAATATGAAGAGGCTTGTATTATCCTTAGATTTTCTTTTTCTCTTTCCTTTTTTATTGTGGTTTCCGATGTTGGGAAGTTTCTTCTATGCGATATTGTGATGAAGATCTTTTCGCTTTTTAACTTGTTATTTTGTTCCTTCTTATCAATTTTCATGGAAAGGAGTGATAACTTTTAAAATTGTATTTTATTGTGCTTCCATCCATCTCTATGAATAATCATCGTACATCAATTTAGACTCTTATGTTGCAAAAATCTGTGAAGTTAAATTGATTATTTCCTGGCTGCATGTGTTATGTGTGAAACTTATTTTATATATTTATTTATTTTGATAAGTAATGTTCTGTGTGAAATTTGATTGTTGTATATGAAAGTTATGGTAGTCTATATCACGTCAGTGGAACACTAGAGATTTTTCTGTAGTCCTTTCACCATTGAAGTTTTATTGAACTTCACAATGATTTCATGAATCATGCATGAATACCTCCTTTTTTCTTCAATAAAAGGCATTCTCGCATAAACTTGTTCCTGACTAGTAGACATGTATATTAGATTCTATCTTGCACCTGCATGTGTTGGCTTTATGCTTTTTTGCCTTCTCATTTTCAGAATAGAGGAAAATATATGAAGATTCGGTTCCATTGCGATTTCCCATTTTTGGAAAGTATCTTCTTTGTGACACTGATGAACTTTTTGTTTTTTTGGTGGTGGTGGTTGTTTTGTTTTGTTAGGTAATTATTTTCTCTCGCACACAAACCACCCCGCAAATTCCCACAATGGGCTTGAACCCTCTCCTCTCCTATGGTAACTTTTAATATTGTATTTGATTGGGCTTGCATCCATTCTATGTATAAATCATCATACATAGGTTTAATCTCTTATATTCCAAAAAGTTGCAGAGTTAAAATTTGTTTTTCCTAGTTAAATTGATTACTGTCTTGTATTGTTCTATGGATTAAAGTGAAGCTTGATTGCTGCATATCGTGTAAGTCAGATTAATTCTATGGATTTTCCCTCTTCATTTTAGCAGTTCATTAAACTGCATAAATCAATATAAATCTCCTTTTGTCTGTTCTTTGATAAATGCAGTCTAGCAACACATATATGAGATTGAATTCCATTCAGGGTGTGTCTATTACAATTGTTATGGAAATATAGGACTCTGATATTGAGAGCTGAGGTTGATTATGAATTGTCTGAGCAGGTTACGCTCTGTTCAGAGATGTGCTTGTATTGTTCTATGGATTAAAGTGAAACTTGATTGCTGCATATCGTGTTGGTCAGATTAATTCTATGGATTTTCCCTCTTCATTTTAGCAGTTCATTAAACTTCATAAATCAATACAAATCTCCTTTTGTCTGTTCTTTGATAAATGCAGTCAAGCAACACAAATATGAGATTGAATTTCATTCAGGGTGTGTCTATTACAATTATTACGGAAATATAGGACTCTGATATTGAGAGCTGAGGTTGATCATGAATCGTCTGAGCAGGTTACGCTCTGTTCGGACACGTGCCAAATACATATATGGTCGTGTAGAAAGTTAAAATGAACCTGAGGAAGTAACAGAAAATCATTACTATGTTGTTGATTAAGTCTGTGTTCATACCATTATTTTTGACAAATGGCATGATGACATGTGGCGAGTTCTAGTGAACTTGTCACACCGGATTATTGTCTAATTGTTTGAAAAGAATATCATATTATGGTACCAGCAGATGTTAAAGTTGATTTTGTATCATATTACCACTCACACGTGAGGTAAAAAGCACCAGAGAAATTGCCTTCCAATAAAGAGGATACATATGGCGAGTTTTAATGAACTTGCCGCATTAGAAAAGTTTCAGTCTATATGGCATACCATTGCCGTATGCCCCATGATTTCGCAAACAGGTTTGACTAATGTGATAGCCTTACTTTCGGAACACGGGTTAATTAATATCGCGCCCAAAATCAGCAGATATCAAAATAATTAAAGTATTTAAATAAATATATATTATAAAAAAAAATTAAAAAGAATAAATTACTCATTGGAGAAAAGTAATAAATACTAAATCTATTAATAACTCTACAATGGTTATAACTCTGAAAATCCCGTAACTCAAGGACCCCTTAATCAAAAGTCACTATCTAGAAATTCATAATTAAATACTAACGTCAAATGAAGTATTAATATCCTACTTTGAAATAAGCTGAAATAGTAGATAAGTTTCCTAAGTTGCGGATTCTCAACCTTGAGACTTGAACTTCTAATAATCTGAAAGAAAAAAATAAAGTGGGTTAAACCCACGAGCAAACTCTTTCTACCAAGTCTCTGAAAACCAATAAACAGATAATCTATAATCAAAATCAAATTTAATAAAGTTTTAACTTTAATACGATGATACACATTGATGCGACCGAGTATGTGTACAAAATAATTCATAACACTTTAGGTTTAGAAATAATGTCAAGTGAGCATTATATTTTATAATTTATAAAACCACTAAACACTTATACTATGAAGTATGAAGCGAGTAGAGATCATTCCAAGAGATCTAAACAATGTTGGTTTTTGGAATTGAATTATACTTTAGTGCTTATGTGATTGCTAAATAGAGATTTGTTTTGTGATTATAACTAATTTTAATCTAAATATTGCAATAAAATAATATAGTTTAAAAGATTAGGAAAGAGGCTTAGGGTGTAGGATTTACCACTAAGCACATTCCCTAACTTACTAACTTTCAATTAATTGGGGAAATAATAATGTGTAATCTAAATGTGGTTAACAATTGTAATGAAAAATATAAACCATCAATTTCAAGCATGAATCAACTACTTTATGACAATTAAACTAAATGTAGTGCAATTTACCAATTCAAAGTATGATTTATCAATTCAAGGTACAATTTCAACACACATTAATCTAGAGGATAATGCAATTGTGACAATAAGCATGGATTGTCTACTTACCTAGGAATGAAAGTGCAATTAAACTAATTAAGCCTGAAATTAACTAAATTTAACAAGAAATTAACCTAATTAAACTAACTGTGTAGTGCAATCCATCTAGTAGAAGTAAATTCCATCAAATCAAAACACAATTACATCTAATTAATACAATGAATAGCTATCACAAGATTCAATTCACAAAGAAATCAAGTGTAGAAATTAATTATCAATCAAACACATATAAGACAATATGAGATTGACATAGATAATCAAATAAAATAATTAATTTATATTTCAAGGCTATACAAAAATTACATAAATAAATCCCCAAAAGTGAAAAGTTAAGAATTAGGTTACATGATTAGGGTTTATCCAACCCTAAGTTGAAAAATTAGCCGCTCATGGTTGATGGATGCAAGATGTTAACAAGCTCCATCCATTGATTCATCTGGCTCCTCTTCTTCTTCTCTAAACTTTTCTTAAGAACCCCAACTTTTCTCTTTTTCGTGTTTTCCAGAGAGAACGTGATATCCATTACCGAAAAATAAAATGTAATAATAAAATAATAAAAACTAACTCCAACTAATGGGTCCTTCTTTCCCTTAAGTTCAAACCCTATTGGAGGCCAATAGTTCACAAAATAAGCCCAAACAAGAAAATCCAGTTGCCAAGTAAACAGATGGGGATCGATCCCCCAAGGGTAATTTTTCACACCTTTCTGCCAACAGTGGGGGATCGATCCCTCAGTGCTAGAAATTTCTTTTAAGCCCTGTTTAACTCCATTTTGGCCCCGGACTAATCGGTTTGCCTCTTGATCGTTGGGAACAACATCAAAGGCCCAAAAAAAGGTAGAATTGACTGCTTTTGAAAGATAAGCGCACTATACGAACAATGGCTGCGGTCTCTTTTTGCCATTGTCTAAACTTTTTCTAATTGTCATTGCTTGACTCCAAAAAGGTTTTAATGAACTGAAATTAGTTTGTTTGAACCTTATTGACTTGAAATTGACAAAAATATAAATTAGAACTAAAATATGAAAGTAAGATAGATGAAATGACTAAAATACCCTAACTTAGGTGTTGAAGTGCGCAACATTTAAGCACTTATCACACATATATATAAATATTTATATATAATACAATAATCACATCCATTGATAGGTTCATTAAAATTTCCAAAACCGTTAAATAATAATTAAATAAAAATCATACCTAGACTTATCCACAATTTATTTTTTTTCTTTTTAAAAGAAACTCATTTAACCCTAATTCCCTCCTAGACAGTTGTTTCATCATTTAAACAATAAATTATAATTAAAGGAATAATACATTTAATCCAAAACCCAACAATGATTTTAACTATTTTAAATCACATAGGCAATATTTAGGCTTTGACAAATCATTCATATTTTTACCAATATTATTTTATTAATATTAAAAAATAAAAACTAACCTGTAAGTACTAGATTATTCTAATATAAGAGTATCTAATCATAATCCAACTTATACATACAATAACCATAAATGAATTTTAATCATCTAACATATAACAATTTAATTATGCATTGGCAAATCAACTATGCTATTTCAAATATATTTATTTATATATTTGTAATTCAACCATGCCTCCTCAAATATATATATTTATACTTTTAAATTAGTAACTAATCCATGCTTCCTATGTATTTATTTTATTCATACAAATATTTAGACAATATATTTAAGCATTTCGCAACTCATCGATGCCTACAATTCAACCATATACCAACTTTAAACTTAACAATAAACTAATTCATACATAGACATCTCATGCATATTATAAGCATATCATTAATTTAATAACTAACCTATTATAATTTAATCAACTATACTACCCATACATCAAGATATATAAAAATAATAATAATATTAATAATCTTAAATGATATATATACACACACATATATTATATCATATATCTATGTATAATACTTTCCATAACAATCCTTAATTATTTAAATCATATATACATACATAAATATATATATATATATATATATATATATATATACATATACATCCTTCTATACTAATCATAAATTAATTAAACCATATATATACTTACACACACATATATATATACACACTTCCTTCCATAATAAAATATTAATTAATTATATTAGGCAAATAAATGTTACTAAATATCGAAGCAACACTCTACGACTCTCAAAACCCTAAGAATATCTCCTCTAGTGATTGTTTTTAACCCTAAAATGCTTAAAATCAAATCTGGAACATCACCGGACTTCACAGAAACTTTTCGGGACCCTAAACACTGCCT